ATTCGGAAAGATATTATTATGTTTGGAAATGTTTCTTCTAGTCTATTTGATTTTAAACATTTGTATGTACTATATAGAAATACTGAATTCAGAAATATCAAGTTCCGATAGATACGCTTTTAAGTGTATACATTCTAAAATTAATTCATTTTCATTAATATCTACGTGATAAAATTCCGCAAATGTTTTGCAATGGACTTGTACTTCTTTTGTCTCTAAATTTTTTAAATTAGAGAAAAATCCAAACAGTTTATTTATTGTATTGTATGATTTACCACGAATTTTTAACTGAGTTATTAATGTATCTATTATTGGGAAGTAAGTKTCTATTTTGAATTTTTCACTACCTGAAAACGATGTACTTTTGTTTGTCAGTTCACCGGGTAATGTTAAATGAATACTCCTCTTCTTAGTTCGTTGGTGTAAATCTTTATAGTCAGAATCTGGAAATTTTTCTCTAGCGGAACTTTCATAACAATAAAAGTTATCTCTAATCTCACTTAGAAAACCAGCAAGAGAATCAAATAATTTTGAACCGACGTCAATAGTAAGGTTTTCTTTTTGTAAATTTTTGTTTGTTTCATTTATTCTTGATAAGATTTTACTCCAAATTTCAGTAAGAACAATATTTTCCAACTTTTTCATTTTCTTAATTAAGCCATGGGTTTCGTTTTTAACATTTGGTGAAGTCTTATCATCTATTTCAATTGTTTTTAGAGCATCTAAAATTTCCTTGTAACCATTACACAAAGCAGTAACAGCATCAGCTCGAGCAGACCATCTAGTTTCTGATAGTGACTTTAAAACATGATGTGAGCCTAGGCACTTTTTCATGATACTCCAACGATAGGTAGAACTCGAAAAAAAATTATACAATTTTTGTACAAATTGAAAATAACTTACTGCTTCCATAACACATTCTGCTGCACGAACCCCTACCAAGTTCAAAGAATGAGCTGCACATGGAATAAAAATAGCAAAATTACACTTTTCTTTTATTCTAGCTTGTAGACCAGCATATTGTCCTGACATATTTGCAGCATTGTCATACGACTGGCCACGACAGTTATTCAAACTAATCTGATTTTTTTCAAGAAAAGATAAAATAACTTTAAATAAATACTCAGATCCATGTTCATCAATAGGAATAAATTCCAAAAAACGTTCAACTGGAGTATCATCATTAACATACCGAATAATGAATGTCATTTGATCAATATGAGAAAGATCAGGAGTGGAATCAACACTAATTGAATAATATTTAGCCACTTTTAATTCCGAAAGAATTGCATTTAGCACTTGTCTCCCCATTATGTTAATAAATTCATTACAAATATTAGCTGACAAATATGAAGGATTTCCTTTGCCTTGATTTCCATATTTATTTAAATGTTCTAAAAGAAATGGATCAAATTGGCTTATTAACTCTAAACAGCCCAAATAGTTCCCATTGTGTTGAGATCCAATTATTTGATTTTCTCCGCGAAACGCAATTCCTCGTGACGACAAAAATTTTATTACAGCAACAATTCTCTTTAAAACTTCTTTCCAATAATTTACTTCTAAGTTTATTTGATAAGATATTTCTTGATCTATGCGACCATTATTTTTGGTCCTAACAGAAAAAGTCATGACAGATTCTCTGTGCATTAAGCTATTTTCATGCTCCAAGACAACCGTATGAACATGTTTCCAGTCATTAAATCCTTGTTCACAACTAAATCCAGTTTTTGTAGAAGAAAAGAGACGACATACAAAACAAAACAAAGCTTTTTTCGAGGGAGAATATAAAAGCCACGATCTATCGACATTTTCACCATTTTTTAGTTGACGAGTGAATATTGACTTGGTTAAGTGTCTCACTTTAATTTTACCATTTGATTCTGTATAATTTCGTGCGGAATTTAAAAAGTCACTATCTTTATTTTGAAAAAATTTGGAACCTTTTTTAATATACATATTTCGTTTTTCCTCAGTTAATGTATTCCAATTTCCGGGATCATTTGATACTAATGAATTGTCCTCAACTGTTTCTGGAGAATCAACGAAATATTTATTAAGGCTTAAAGTAGGATTTTGAGATACTTGTGATTGTTGGTTAATTGTTATCGTTTCTTGGGATATTGGTAAAACTAAATTAGTTTCTTCTTTGGGAGGAACAGAAGAAAAAAAATCTGTAAGCTTAGGTAAAGAATTTATGATTTTTTTTTCGTTGATTTCTTTTACGATTGCTCTCTGCCTCTTTGAAGCACCACTAGGATATGAACGCTTTGACATTTTGAAATGACAATATTTTTGTCGATAGTTAGAACATCTGGAAAAAATACAGTCGTCTTCTACAAATATTCGATTCTGCTCTATCAATTTTAAACAGTAACTAATAGACCGTCTAGACCTACATGCTACATGACTACGTCATATGACAAATTAAATACCTATTTTATAATAATACTAAGGAAACAGTTTGTATCAAATTCGCAACATTTTTAATAAATTAAATAATAATTTTAAATAAACTCTCGTCTTGACCGTATCGAATATATCATAGATAAA